ATTTTAATATGTAATAAATTCATTGCTAGAAAAAATGTGTTTCATATCTAAATGACGTGGCAATTCTAATTTTCGAAACCCTCAAAATTCATTTAGGTATTAAATTCAGAGAGTTGTATCTACTTTTTTTTTAATTTTAGGAAAAATATATAAAGAGTTGTAAAAGCAAATACAAATTCTATACCTGACACCATTTTGTAAGATAGTTTAATTCTCTGAAGAACTGTGAAACAATCAATAAACATAGTAAGTTGTGCCCATAAATAATTACATAGATATATATATGCATATGTACACACACATATATATATATATCAGTTTTGCTCACAATTTGTTTAAAAACATTTTTTTAAAGAATCTCAAACTTTCTTCCCATTTAGGCAGACCGATTGATACTACTACCAGTGACTTTTCTAATCACATCCAATTTCTGGAGCCATTTCTCACTCTGATATCCGTGCACAGTATAATAATGAAACCAATGCTGGCACTAGTGTAAGATATCTCCGAAAGTCTACATGGTAATGTATTTGATGACAGAGAAAAACAAATGCTAACTGAAACAGCAGAGCAAAAATAACCTATCGAGTAAAAATTTAAAACCAGCTCTGGGGGTTTGGGCTGAAAGAAGACAAGCACAAACCCCCTCACCTCCCTTGCACATTAAAGGACATACTTTCATGAGGAAAAAGCTCAAATAGAAAACTGCTAATATTTTTTAGCCTTGTTGATAATATAAGAAAAATAATTAATATGAAAAGAAAGACTGTAGTTCTGGTTTAATAGCTGAAATATTAGAACTCCTAGAAGAAAATTCTATTATTTAAACTTTGTTTAAATGCACAAATTTGATTGGTCTTTTTCCCAATTTAATATCTAGTGTCACAGCCTGTCCTGAACACAAACGGTCTGTTCCCATGATGCATTGCTTTTTTGGAGCAGGGTTTGATGTTTAAGGATATATGACATGAGCCACTACCCTTGATTTTGACTCAGCTTAAAGAAATTCTTAGTTCTTATTAAGGTCTTTTCATAGGTGAAATAGTAAATTATATTACTTATTCTTCCATCCCTTCTCCAAAGAGCTATGATTTATATATATACATATGAATTTCTGATGATAAACTTGAAGTCAACACATCACTATTTCTTTAGTGTTGGCCTCTTGGGAAAGTTCTCATTACAGAACGACAGCCATAGGCCATTTTCCCTGTTAAACTCAGATGAAAACTAATCTACTTTGATCCAATCCTTTTGAAAAGATAAGGCCGGTGTTATGGTTAAAACCTCAGCTGACAGACTTCAAATAGGAGCCCAGTGAGAAGCTCTGGGGTTTAAGAGAAAGAACAAAGAGGTCCTGAGTCTGCTCACAACGGAGCAGCTCACTGAATGGAACAAACTGCACGGAACCCCCACTTTGAGAAAATCAGGCTTCCTTTACTTTGACCACACAGTCTTAATTGCTCAAGCCAGGCTAATTATCTGCCAGGTATCATTGGAAACAGTAATGGCACATTAAAAACCACCTATTCCTCAAAGCTCCCTTGGTGAACTATCTCACAACATGGCGTCCGGTTGTTGGCCTGCAATGAAATGCTGTGGGTTATCGCCGAGGGGTAGGGGTTAGCACGGCCCAGCCGCCATTTGTTGCTGCGCCCAGCGTCATGTGGCTTGGGAATTCAGTGAAGTCTCAGGAGCCCCCACTGTGTCACCAGGCCATGCATCTCGCTGGTTCCTGGCGGAGGTGTAAACCCTCTAGGAAGAGTCTCACTCTTCTTTTCCAGGCAGGACTCCTCCCTGAGTGCCTGATGATCTGGGCCCCCAGAAGAGGATTAGTCACGAAGTTAATAAAGCTTAAGCTTTAGAGTTTCTCATCTAATTGTTATTCATAATTTTATTTTCTTTTTAATAGTGCATACCTCTCCCTGTGTAATCTTAAAGCCACACAAATCCTGGATTTGCCTAGGAGATTCATATGTGTGATAAGAAAATAAATCCAAAGGGAAGGTTTTGCTCCTTGGACTTAAATCTAGGTCGGAGAGAGCTGCGAGAAGTCTGCGCAATATCCACACAGCATTAGGTCTCTGCTCAAAGGGCACTGTTGGAAGGAGTATTCCCAGCTACCTCATTTAAAGGATCATCCTCCCTCACACCTGTTGTTCCTTACTTTCCTTGTTTTTGCATACTTTATCACATGTAACTAACTAGCATGACACAATACATTTACGTGTTTTCTTCCTCCCACTTGGAAGGTGAGCTCCAAATGGGAAAGGATGGATTTTGTATCTTTTCACCACTGAATTTCCCGCATCTAGAATACCGGTCACTACCTAGGCTAAGGTGATCATATAACATTTTGTCCAAACAGGGACACCTTTGAGAGTAAAGGATATTGTTATTATCAATAATATTTACACCAGGATATCAACCATAAACTGTGGCAGCTTCAGGACGCTGGGAGCAAAGTCACCGCATTCTAAGGCTACATTGAATTCATTGCCCCGAAGGAAGAAGAAGTGAGAGAAAATTACCTCATATCAGAGAGCTCTCTCCTTACTCACCTTCCCCTCAGGTCTGGCATAAAGCTCCTCGATCTTTGAAGGCTGGGGAAAACCTCCAACTGGGGAAGCCCCTCCAGTCCCTTCTATTCTTCCAGTAAGTCGGTGTTCTCAACTGGGACCTGTTTACAGGCACCACCACCCCGATCTCACCCCATGCCCACCCAGGGGGTATCTGGCCATTATCTGAAGACATTTTTGGTTGTCACAACCAGGTAGGTGTTATGGGCATCCAATGGGTCAAGGCCAAGGAGACTGCAAAATAGCCTACAATGCCAAAGACAAGCCCAAACCCAGCACAGAATTATGTGGCCCACAAGGGCAGTAGTGCTGAGGTCTGGCAACTAGGAAGAAGCCAGAGAACAAGGGCCCAAGAAATAATTATGCCCACTTGGTTCCATTTTTAATTCCATTATTCTTCCCAGTGAAGATTCTACTCCTTAATATTCTCACATAATTAAGCATTCTCGAGGGCTCTTTTTCAACTTTGAACCAGAGCAGATTGGCTCCTCCCTTAACGTGGACTGTGGAGACACGGACCAGGGCAGTTAGGAAAGTGTTTTGCAAGGATGGAAAAAGGTGGGGACTTTGCCAGAATAAGTTGGTGTCCTCAAGAAACCTGGAGCATAGTGAGTTAAGTGTGACCAACACATACGATCCTATTATTTATGTGACACTGAAAATATAGAAATTTAACCAAATAAACATAATGTATTTCATTAAGTCCCAGGATGCTTGTTAGGCTTCAGAAGACTTTATCACACACAGTCTCATTTGATCCTCAAAAAAAATTCGGGTATTATGATCCCTAATAACACAGGAAGAAACTGAGCCACCAAAAAAAAAAAAAAGTGTGATTTGCCCAAAATTACTTATCTAGAAAGAGCCAAATCAATCAATAACTCAAAGAAGTAAAGGAAAGGAGGATCCAGTGGGGTGTGATGAAATACTTAATTTTTATCTAACGTCCAGTATGTGCTACTTATTTCATGTTATTTCACTTAATCCTCATGGTCATCATAGAAGTCTCACTGTCCCCACTTTATGAGTGAGTGAACAGAGTCTATGGCTTGCTTACCCCAACCAAAGTTTAAACCCATATCTTACACATCATATCTAAGGTTTCTTACCAAAAAAAAAAAAAAAAAAACCTACCTTGCTTCCCTATTTATGTCAACTGCTTTTGCTTATTTTTATTTATTCACTCATTTAATTCAACACATTTATTTTTAGCATACCCACAACATGCAAGGCACAATCCTAGGCCCAGGGAAAACAACCTTGAACAAAGCAGTGTCTGCCTTCAGGGAATTTAATTGCACTGAAAAACAAAACAAAAAACTTGCTTAGATATTCATTTCCTTCTCCCTGGGAACTGAGCCATTACCCAGCTATTCACCCTGAGAGCACCAGCTGGCGCACGGTGTTGAGAGGTGCTGGGAAATTACTGTGTAACTCGTTCAAATTATTTTTGCTATGTTATGTTGTTTTGGAAACGTTATGATGTTAAAAGAGTGAGGTAAACCCGGTTAGAATTTTTCTTTGAGACTCAGACTGGCTTAGAAAACTAAGTTACTGACAGCGCCACGGCATTTTTTATGCAAAGTGAATTTTAAGGAAGCTCTGAGCTGAAAGAATAAGAGGAATGAGTCCATCAGGTTAAATAAGTGTGAATAATCAGGGCAACCCAGGGAAAAGTCAGGGCAGCAGACATGGAAGAAAGGATTCTAAGCTTTCAGCCAAAAGTGGAACCACATAATTCTATCATATAATCAGTTGTCCTTAGAGGTCAACATCCCATCTGAAGGACACATATTATGAAAAAGCTTTCCTTTTTTTTGCCTTGTCTGAGTCAAGTAGAAGGAAATAGAATAGGCCTTCTGAATTTGAACCCTAAGTCCGAATTCTAATTAGAACTCTTTACATTAATTTATGTGCCTATTTTGTGCCTATTGTCTAAAATGAAGAAATATATAACGTGTCAAGTGATGACAAGTGCTACGAGGTTAAGGTGGGTAGGACAGAGAAGGATGGGAGATTCTATTTTTGGTGAGGTATTAATGGAAAAGCTCAGATAAGGCAACATTTGAACAGAGACTTAAAGGAAAGGGCAAACAAGCCATGTTAAAAACACCTGGACAGAGCGTCCCTGGCAAAAGAACAGACTCAGCAAAGTGTGCCAAGTATTGAAGGAAAGCAGTCGATGTGGCTGGAGGACATTTTGCCAAGAAGAAAAACGGCCAGACATGTAGCCAGAAAGGTAGAGTAGGGAGCCTGCACACAGGGCCTTAAAGGCCATGGTGCGGACAGATGAGATGAGAAGAGACCAGAGGATTTGAAAATAAAACGAACATGATTTGGCAAACATTTACAAAGAAGTTACTCTGGCTGCCGTGCAGAAACAAGCTTGCGGGGCCTGGACAGAATCAGGGGAACGGTTACCCAGCTTGACCAGGGTGGACGTGGTGGCCAGCGGCTGAGTCGAGACGCGTTTCAAAGCAAAGCGCTTAGGACTGGGACAGACGGAATGCGAGATGCCGGAGCGAGCGAGCGGTCAGGAGTGCACTTCGAGATACTAGCGCTGAGCAACAGGCCGAATGCATGGCACTTGCTCAGATGAGAAAGGCTCCCGGAGGGGAGCGCTGCGGGGGAAGGGCAGACGTCCGTTCTGGAAGCGTTAGAGTAAATGTCTGAGGAGCCTGTCGGGGCAGATGTCGCGCTGAACATGGAACGGGTGAGCCTGCGGTCCAGATCTGAGATCAGGGCTCCATACAGGAAACGGGGCCTCACCGGGGAATGGATGCTCGCTGAAGCCCTGAGGTTAGATAAGGACACACAGAGAGGGAAGAGTTGAGGGTCCCCCGATGTTTGATGTTTGGGATGTGGAGGTGTGTGGGGCAAGAGAGGAGTGAGGTGTGAGGAGAACTAAGGAAGAGGTCAAAGAAGAAAGTGTTTCCAGAAAGAGTACGGAGGAACAGGGCCCACGCCTCTGGGCACCCGGCACGGCCACTGGGGCTGGAGCAGCAGGCTGTTCGTGACATGGATGGAGCAGGCCCTGCCGAGCGATTGTGACAGAAGCCACACTGAAATGGGGTAATAGAACGAACAGACGTGGAGAAAGCTACGGACAGCAATGCTGAGGTTTCCCACAAGAAGAGCGGTGCAAATGAGATAGGGCGAGGGAAGATCTAGAAGTCAAAGGTGTTTTTGTTTTTCTTTCTTTCTTTAATGAGAATATTACAGATAAACATTGTGGCACCTAAGTGTAAAACCAAAATTTCTCAAACTGATTCCAGCACCTTTCCCACGTAAACCTGCTGGTCGATACGGGCGACACCCGTGGGCGCTGACAGGAGTTCGGAAATCCGGCCACGACCATGATGTCTACCTCTCTTCCAATGTCCACTTACTCGTTCATTTCATCCCTTCATGCAACACATTTTTACTGAGGGCTTAGCATAGGACCGGGATGCTCTAGGCACTGAGGATAAAGAGCGAAGAGGCACAGACAGTCCCTGTCCTCATCCAGCCTGTCGCCTAGCATGGAAAACCGAACCAGAGCAAAGCTGCCTATGAAAGGAGAGCACGGGGCTGATGCGGAGCCGTCCTTGCCAGGAGGTGGGGTGGGGCCGCCTCCAGGCAGGCCCCTTGAGGGGGCCTGAGGAAGGAAGGAGTGGGGACTGGCCAGGTAAAGGAGAGAGTGCAGCGGGGACCTTCTCGGCTGCACGGCAAAGTGCTTGTGTTCCAAGCTAGAGAAAGCCTCTCGCGGTGTGGGAGCCAAAGGACATCCCAGGCGACATAAATAAAAAGAGTGTCATGCCAGAGCAAGTGGTGGGGTCAGGAGGAGTCAGGGGCACGATCCTGAGGAGCTTTATGAGGCACATTAAACATTTAGGAACTTCGGCAGGGAGAGATGGAAATGCATTTCAGTTTTAATATTGGCCTTCTGGCAAACTCTTTCCCACTTCAATGCCTTTGTGGGATGTTTTTTCTCTTTGCCTGAAACGCTCTTCCCTCAATTTTCACGTAACTGATTTATTACCATTCTTGTGGTCTCAGGTCAAGTATCACTTTCCTGAATACCATGTTTAATTCTAGGCCCTCAATATTTTATTTAAAGCTGGCCTTTTAAAACATCTATCGCAACTTGTTATCTATGACTTATTGTCCTATTTGCTGTCTACTTCTCCACCTCAACCGTAAGCTCGAAGAAGCCAGGTCTGCATGTTTTATTTACCACCATATCCTGAGGGTTAAGCACATAGTAGGCACTCAATGAGTAAGTTTAGCTGTATGTGAATTTATTGGGTGTAGTCACAGAAGAAGAAGAAAAATCAAAGATATTGCCAAACTTTCCAGTTCAATGAAAGCAACAGAAAAGTTAGAATACATTGGCAAAGAAGTGTTAAGAGAAAAATGATGTTAATTTTTAATATATTGGATTTGAAGGTGCTAGGAGGGAAATGAAGGAGATCTCTACTGGAAGGTAAGCCTTCAGAGTCTTTGGCATATAAGTAAAAGTATCTAACCATGAAAGTAGATTAACAGTACCCATGGGAAATGCAGAGAATGAGGAGAGGGGAGACCTAGGCCAAATCAATACTTGAGAGGAAGAGAAGGCAATGATATGTCTGACAAATAGTGGTAATAAGTAGAGAGACCAAACTAGAAAAATGTGGTGTTGTGGAAAGAGGATGTTTCCGATAGCAATAAATGTTCAACAGTGACAAATGCTATGAAACCATCAAAACAAAGTAAAGATGAAAGTACCCATTGAATTTGGGGATGGGAAGGTCTTCGGTAACCATGGTAACAGCAGTGTGGACAGAGGCAGAATGCTGCCAGTTGAGGAGTGAGTGAGTGGCAAGTGTAATCAATGCCTTTAGAGTGACAGTCGTCAGAGTTTGTGTGAGAACAGTGATATCCGCGGGTTGGTGGAGGGGTGGGTTGGTTAGCTCTTTTGTAAGATTAGCAACAGAAGAGCATATGTAAACTCTGGCAGGAAGGAGCCTAAGAAAGGGGTGCATGGTGAAGAATCAGAGCACTCAGTGCCGCAGGGCCCCCACCACGCTGTGGGGCATGGGTGTGAGAGGACAGGCACGTACGGTAGCCTTACTCACATAGAAGACAGAGGTCCGTGTGCCAGATTAAAAAGAGAGCAAAGAGGGATAAAATCAGTCAATGTGCAGATAGTTGTGCAGAGTTGACAGCAGAAACTAACAGAGTGACCATCTGATGGCTTCTCGTGTATCTGTGAGGTACGTCCGTGCAGGTATCTGCCGATCTCTTTCCCTCTGACCTAAATAAACTATTGTAAAAGTCCCCTAAGCATTTATGTCCCCAGCCTCGTCCCCCGCGGCTCAGCCCTGCCCTACTGACACCGAATTGTCTGCAGGGCTGGCACTGACCCTCTCCCGCCAGTCTCCACGCTGCGTTATGTGTCCCTCTGAAATACACCGACCTTTCCACGGTACATGGCTAACCACCCTTGTCTGAGGGACATTAGCTTATTAATTTTGCCCTTTTGGTGCCTAGTCAAGTCCTTGATAAATTGTTGCTCAATAGAGATTTCTTAAACATATTAGCCAACATTGAGGAAATACCACCAATGTGTTTTGTGAACTCTTTAGCTTGATTAATGGGCATAAGCCTATATTCTTATGTTTCTTTAAATCTTGTCCCAAATTATATTTGTATTTGTCTTTATCATCTAGGAACTGATTCTGAAAATTAAGCAGTTATATTTTAATAAATTGGAAAAGTATTTGTTAATATCTGTTTATGCAATAAATTATCTAGGTCACCAAGCCTGCTAACAAGATTTAAGATCATCTCTGCTACCCAGTGATAACACCGACATCTAGTGGTTATTAATCTGATTTTTGGTTGTCCATTTCATTCCCTCTAAGGCCAAGCTAGTTTTAAAACTTTTAAGTGCTACATAGGCACTGGTTCACATATCACACTCATGAGTCACATGCAGACAATACATTTGGGATGGAGGGTGCTTTCCAAAGAAATCACCTTCCGTAAAGAAACACAAACATGAATCTTGAATGTGAACTGCCCAAGGTTCCAGACTGAGGAGCCAATTCAGTCGTTCCCAAACTAGTATTTTCTATAGTTCCATGGACCCTCATAATTATTAGTCATGCACAACATAGGCTCTGTGGACAAATAGATACTCCACTCCTCCATCTCTATGCCAACCCCTTCGCCCCATTTCTTTTCCGTTTTAACCTCCACAGCACTTCACACCATTTGGCTCACTATTAATTTGCTTATTGTCTGTGTCCTCCACTGGAATGTGAGCTCCTCAAGAGCAAGGGTTTTTATGTGCTTTTTCCTCAAAAAACTCTTAGCCTGTAATAGAAGTTCAGTGAAATACTTATGATAGGATAACATAAATTTGAGAAATGTTGGATAAAAGAAAGTTAAACAAAATTGTCTACTGTGGGAATTCTCAAGGCCATTCATGTGTAAACGTGTTCATTACAAATCCAAAGGCATAGAGTGTTTCTCAATATGCTCCCCTGGCCCACCCCAACGCGCGTGCCCCCCGCCCCCCCACTTCACACCACAGGGTTAATGGTCTACAGAGCACATCTTGGCCAGGCTGGTATGACTCACGGGCCTGAGAAACAAAGCTCACTTACCCTTAACTTCTGTATCCCTGCCATACCCTGTGGAACCCATATTTCAAATTAACATACCATGCAACACTGAGAATACACTGAATTAAAGGAAAAAACACAGAGAACAAATTGTACCTTTGATAGTGAGTCAAATAATACAGAGAGGAAATAAAACCTATTCCAGTGAATGGCCCATGACTGACTATACTTAAATGATATTTATCTGAATCTCAATTCCTTCTGACCTTGAGGATTATCCAAATGAAAGTTTGAATTACATGGGAAATGAATAAAAGAACTTGCCATGGGGAGAAATACAGACTGCATGGGGAGGCATGACAAAATAATTGCTCCCTTTCATCAGAGGAAACCTGGCATGATACATAAGAAAGCCAAGTCATTTTAACGGCTATTTATGTAAAGCAGCAAAAATCCTGTACGTTAACCTTTAGAAATAAGCTTGCAAAAATACGCAATGGAACACCATGACCTCGTAGCGTCTGAGTCCCATCCTCCTGAACGGAGCCTCTTCTGTATTGTTGCATCCTGATTTTAGCAGACGCAGGGGGAATTGGGAGGATCCATCTCGGAAACGGACGCCACGGGCTGACAGCACAGCAGGCTCGCCCTCTTCGCGGGGAGAGCGGGTCCTTCACACAGCACAGTTTGTTAATGCTCAGGAGCACTGGGAAACGCAGCAAAAGACTAAGGTGGTGCTATCCACAACCAGACAGGACCCGAGTCTGTGCAGCCCATTAAATTGCCCCTCAACTTCTCACACGTTGAGCTAGTCATAGACTTTGCATTACTATTAAAAGTACTGTATATTTAACAAGCAATTTCTTTACAATAGAAGCAATTGAAAAGAGAAAACACGTACCTCCACCCCCCCCCCAAAAAAAAAAAGCTGCAGAAAGTTCTGAATGTGTGTTCAATTGACAAGAATTAATCACCATCAGAATAGGCTCTGATTTGAAAATCTTCCCAGGAATCCTAGGAAACAGATTGACCAAAAACAGTTCATCTTCCATAAGACACTCCTCCTCTGTGCTTGTGTGGGCAGCCACAGGTTCTCGAGGAGGGACGTGCTTTCAAGGTGAGATCTCAGGATGCTTTGTTGAAGTACCAGGTCGGTCACTCTCCGGCTGCATGGCCACCAAGTCCTGTGACCTCCTCTATGAGGAGGGGATTATAATTCTGGCCCTATCTTCCTCATGGGATTGCAAAATAATAGATTTAAAACAACAACAACAACAAAAAAAACCCTCTCTTGAAAGTGCAGACACTTTGCCAATTTCTGAGGATGAGCGGGTAGGAAGAAGAGTGAGCTTCCTGCGGGGGAACATTAGACCTGCTCATCCCTTGCTCTCTGCCATTTCACATGAATCTGTGAGCAGTCTTAATAGCAATTAAAACTTTCCAATGGGATGCTCATATCCTACTTGGATACCTTCTTGGTGTACAGACAGCCAATATGAATAAATGCTCCTTAAATTCTCTTTGTGTCTTCCAATTAACACAGCTACTGCCAATATTGAGACGTTGGTTTAAAGACTATTAAATACGAAGCTATTCAATAATCTAGTTTGCAACAACTGACAAAGCTAATTAGGTATCTGGGTGGGGAGGGAAATTTTGGAATCAAAATGGTAAGAACCTGAGCACATATCAAGAACAGGCAAAATGTTCTCTTCGAACACATTCTCCCTGTATTCACCCTGCCTTTTCACAGGGAGTCAGCCTC